CTCCCTTTGCCAGTATTTTGGAGCAAATGCACACATCCCCCTTCCCCAGCCAAGGCAGGAGGGAGGGGATGAGCAAACCAGCCCACAGAGACCCAACAGGGAGTGCTGACCTCTCCATCTGTGCTAATGGATCACCTTGGAACCTCTGCACAACTGGAGACACACGGCTGTGATCTGTCCTCCTCTCCCTGATCCCTGTCCCCACGGGTCACCCACCACGGAGTAGGGATAGGAGCTAGCACAGAGCTGGAAATGCAAGAGATGCTGATCTAGCAGAGTAGAAGTGGGATTTAGGGTCTCAGGAGCATTGCATTGACAGGTGTGGAAAAGGCATTTCAGGCTGTAGCAGGTGCCTGACAAAGGCTGCTGGTACTAAATCATCACTGAGCTCTTCTCCCACCCCAGGACTCTTCTCCATAGTGACTTCCAGATGCTGGGACAACTCCTTTAAGTAGATGTGGAGGCTGTGTACCTCTCCATGATAGGCAGTAGCCTGCAAGAACTCTCAGAGGCCTTATTTTTGACTCTTGGCTGAGACTGGGAGAACCTACAAGGAGAAATGTCCATATCTAACACCCTGGCATTTCCCTATCCCTTGACATTGTTAAAGCAGACACAGACACAGCCCTGGTGGAGCTGTGGGACAGAAGAAGAGTCACGTTTTCATGGTGTAAAACATAAACCACCGAGAGCAAGAGGAATCATGGATGCAGCCTGAAATGATGTGGGTGGTAGGGCACAGATTACCTTTCTAACATCCCTGGCCACAGTGTTGCTGGAGGAATTAATCTCTGGTTTCTTTGCTCTCTTCTCTTCTTCACGCTCCTCCTCGTCAGAAGAGACTTCTTTATCACTGATGTTGCTGGCTAACTCCTCCAGCTTCCTCTTCAACTCCTCCTCCTCAGCATCGGGATCAGTGTGGGACTCTGGGGCCGCAGACTGGAAGAGCAGAAGAAGGGAAAGGTGTGAGACCCTCCTGTGGTGGACACGGGGCCTGCCTGGCTCCAGCCAGGCTCAGCAAGCAGAGGAGCTCAAGGAGTGTGACCACAGAGGGGTTTCAAACCACACCAGGGAACAGCAGAGCCCAGCCAGCTGTGCACCAGCTCCTCCCTGAGGAACACAAACCCCTGACCTAAAGAACTTCCACTCCCATTTTCCCCACGCACAGAACCTGCTCGGTTTTCTCCATGGAAAATTGCCCTTCTCCCATCCTTAAAAAGGTGGGCATGAGGGATTTGGGGCCAAAAATCACCACATTTTAGTTAGGAATCATGGCATGGTTGGTGGTTCTGAGGGCAGAGATCACAGCAACTCAGAAACAAGGCCCACCGGGGAGAGGCAAGCAGCCATGGGAATTGCCACTCCCTGTGGTAACTTTTGGAACCTCTGGATAATCTCATTTGGGATGAGAACCCACATATCAAATTTCCCTGTAAGACAAATGGCAAATTGCCACCCACCCCCGTTGTTAGGTGCAATTCATGGTAGCTGGAGAATACTGGTAGCTGTTAAACTCTCAGGCACTGAAAGAGATCTCCAGAAGTTCCTGAACTTGCTGACCCCTGCATTAAGATGGGAATACAATTACCTGCGTCATACCTGGTGGGGTTTGGTCTGAGCTGTTTTTTACCAGCCTCCAACAGCAGCATCCAACAGCAGGCAATCTTTTCCCCAGGCAACCTATTCCAGGGCTCTGCTATCCTTTCTTCTGGAAAGCTTTGCTTTATAGTTAACCTCAGCCTGTCCCACAGCTGTTTAGACCCAGTGCCTGTGCTCTGATTAGCCCTGGATATGGGAATAAAGTGTGGGTACCTGACACTGTGAAAACCTCTTACTCCCTTTGTTGGGATTACTGATGGAAACCCTGAATGATTAAAATTGTGGTCATCCCCCTCTGAGAAATTTAGAAAAAAATGGAGAAATTGCATTGTTTCATCCATGCTTGGGGGCTTTGCTTGTAATTGTCACCATCCAGTCTACTGAGCCATCAGCTGCCAGAGTGGTGATGGGTTCACATGAAGGAAAAGAGTGCACAGTCTAAAATTAGAAACCCAAAAATCAATGTTAAGCAGGCTAAGTATTCACATATTCTACACTGTTGCTCAGCTTTAACTTAATTTAGCTGCTTTCTTCCAAGTTTGATGGCGTGGCAAGATCAGGGCAGCTCAGAAGAGATACAGAAATGCTCCTTGACTCAGCTCTCACAGTCACAATAACCTAGTGCCTTCCTCATAGGCGCCAGTTGAGTGTCCCTTGATTTCAAATGAGCTGTCACAGCTCTGCAGATACAGACACCACCTAACAAAACTCCTCAAGTTAGCACTTCATGAAGTATCAGCCTTAAACCAAATTTTCCTTGTGCAGAGGGGGCAAGGAAGGCACTGGTTTGCACAGGGTCTAAATGGGTTGAATTTCCTGTAGTTTCTGCCCTGCCATGCAATGTTTTCTAAGGCACTCCATCACCTGGAATTGGAGAACAGCCTCCAAGGCCAAAACAGAGGGGTGAACTCAAACAGCCCAGGTCATTGTGGCACTTAGGGACAGGGTTCAGTGAAGGACTTGGCAGTGGTAGAGGAATGGTTAGGCTCAGTGATCTTAGAGGTCTCTTCCAACCTAAATATTTCCGTGCTTTTGTCTACCCCTGCAGTGCTGGCTGCTTCATAGAAGGCTCTGCAGTGGCCAGGGGAAGGGAGCAGCAGAGCCCACACTCCATCCCTGCAGGATTCCTGCCCAGTTACCTCGTCAGGCCGTGTCAGGATTTTTTCCTCCAAGCGGTTCAGCACGCGCTCGATTGCGGACATGCGAGTGTTGAGTTCATGGATCTACAGGAAAGGGGAGAGACAGAGAGAGAGGGAAAAGGAGGAGAGAACAGACCAGCCACCACTGCCAGGACAGTGAGGAAACAGTGCAACCAGCAGAGGAAAGCAAGCAGCCGGACACTGCCACCGTGGGCAGAGTTAAAAGATATTAAAAAATAAAATCCTTTAAGTAATGTCTTAAAAATTCCAGTAAGTTCCAGGAGGTGCAGAGCAACCTCAGATCTGTAAAACTCTAAGCAATGCCAAGCCCAGCACAGGGCAATTCCCACCAAAGCATCTGGAGCTTTAATGCGGTGAATGTAAAACCCCATCACCAATAAAAGCATGAACCTATAATAAAGCCACCCATCTCACCATCATTCCCATGCTGCCCCAAATTTAAGTCAACATCCATTTTCACTTTCTACTAACATGTTTTTCAAGCTGTAACCACCCCATCACATGCCTGCCAACACAGTGGTGGAAAGGAAGGGGGAAGAGGGCAAGAATTCCCCATGAAAAAATCCAAGTAGAAAAACTGAACCTTAAAGTTTTCCCCACCACTTTGAAATTTTCTGACTTCTCTGTGCATTGATGTGGAGAGAAGGGCAGAGAAATTAAAGACAGGCAGAATCCTGAAAATCAAAGAGAAATTACCTCCTGTGCTCAAGAACCAAGAACTCTTTGCGATGAGGGTAGATTTGGATTAGGCATTAGGAAGGAATTCTTCCCTGGGAGGGTGGGCAGGCCCTGGCACAGGGTGGCCACAGAAGCTGTGGCTGCCCCTGGATCCCTGGAAGTGTCCAAGACCAGGATGGACAGGGTTTGGAGCAGCCTGGGACAGTGGAAGGTGTCTCTGCCCATGGCAGGGGGGTGGAATGAGATACTTTTCAGATCCATTTAAACCAAAACATCTCTATGATCTATGATCACTGTAAACATTAAAGGAAGCTTTCCCTTCCCCCCGCCAACACTTTAGAAATTGAAGTTTTTCTTTCTTTGAAAAAAAAAAATGAAGTCTCTTTCCTTTGATCCAGACAAATAAAACATAAATGATGATAAATATTGCCTGTTTTATGACACTACCAGTACATCACTGCTGCTCTGAGTGGCTTCTGCCCATTCAAAGGGGAGCAAGCAGTAAAAGCAGTAAGCAGAGGTGGCAACAAAGAGATGTGAGGGGCGGGCTTTGTTTTGGTAACAATTTCCATCCTCTCACTTAGTTTTTGTTCTTGTCAGCCTTTGATTAATTAGACCCTCACAACAGCTAGGGATGATTGCATCTGCTTAAGGGAAGCTGAATATAAAAACCTGGTACCGTGGAGAGCAGAGCAGTCATTACCACCCCGAACTGAAAGCATCTCCAAGTAGCATTAAACCCCCTGGCAGGAAGCACTTCAGTCCATTGCTAAGTGGTTTTTCAGTCCTCTTTAAGGCCTGAGTCTTGCAGGGCTCCCAGTGACAATGAGAAGCCTCTGATGAGCCATCAGCCTCAGAGATGGTGACAAACCAGGAGTCACCACTGCCCTACCTCCATAAGGAAGAGGCTGGGAGAGATCAGAGCCTAAAGCACGGGCTGCAGTTGATATTGATGGCTATCTACCAGGCTAGGAGCTGAAAAGCTTCATTCTCCTTCCCAGTCAAGGCTGGCTTTAATGCAGGGTGGTCACCCCATTGGGGCACATCTCCATCAGGGACTGGCTCACCCTGCACTTCTCCCAACATGACAAAGGCTGGCAAATTGTGCTCTGCATTAAAACATTCAAGGGGAATAAGCTTAAAGCACAGCCCACAACATCAGGTAGGGGAAACTAGCCCTTGCTGCTGACAGGGAGGACAGGTTACTCTACCCAAGCCCCTAACAGAAGCTTTACGTAAAGAAGGGGAGCCAGGCAGCATCAAAGCTTTGGGAATCCAGAACCACTGAGCTCCCTTGAGGTACAGCAGAATGGCTTCTGGGGACAAACTTGGTAAATTGGAGCTATTCCTTATGGCTTGGTCCTGTTGCTACCTGACTTTTAAAAACCTAAAGGCAAAGACCCACACAGGTACCAATTCAGGGTTTCTTTTCATGTCTAATCAAGTTTAAGTGCTTTTTTAAATAGAGTTTTTCTTTAAGTTTTGTTCTTGAACCTTCAGCTCCTGGAGTGACAGGACTAGGGAACAGCCCCTGATTAGTTAGAGCTGGGTGAGGAGCAGGCCGGGTGGGAGGATGGTTGCTGGCTGTAAACACATCAGCAGCACAAAGGGCAGAGAGGATGAGGAGCTATTTAAGCTAATTAGCAACGCTGCCACAAGAGCAAATGCGGTTAAAGTGGGAGTGAGAAGATGCCTCATAACCATTAGGGTGACAAGGCTCCACACCAGCCGTCCTCCAGGTGTGAGGGAACAAACCACAGCCCGATGTGGGAGCTTTCCCAGCTCCTGGAGGAAGTCGTGGGAGGCGTTGGTAGGAATTTGGGCCCATTTCCCCACTGTAAAGCGTGGTGCACATTTCATGCCTAACACAGCGTGGCCTCATTAAGGACACCCAGTCCAGGGTTCTCCCGTTTACTGCTGGCTGAGGAAGGAAAGGCATTTGCTAATTAAGACATGTTCCCACAGAAGTAAATGGCAAAGAGAAGCTTTGCCTACCCAGGCACATGAAGTGTGGTGCTGAGGGATGGTTGTAATCACAGATCTCAAATTAATTACCCAAAGAGGGGTCCAGGACATGCCAGATTACCACCTGTGAGACTGGAAAGTGATTCTGCCCCTGCATCTGTAGCCAAGCACCACCCTGCATTTTGTTGCTCATGGAATCTGAGGAACCAGATCAGCTTTACCATCCTCACTGCCCACCACTGGCAAAGGGAGCACCAGGCACAGCAGGTCCTTGCTTGATAATTAAAACACAAGCTTAGATCCTGTTTGACACCTTTCTTTAGACAGTTCCCCTCCCATTACCATCACTCAGGAGAGGTATGTGACAGATCATCCTGACCCAGTCCTACGGAGGCAGGAACACACTGCAGAGGAAGAGAAGGATCTTGGGTGCTTATTAAATATCCATCTCCAGACCTCCATCTGGTTATTAAGCACTGGCACATTCAATTTAAGCAAGCCTTTCTGGAGACACAAGAACCCACAAGTAACTCAGATTAATAAGGACAAGCTGGAAAATGAGCAGCAACAAAGGCAGGTTTGTTACTGTGATGGCAGCATGGAAGGACCAAGCAGTGCCTGGTTTTCTTTTTGCTGCGAATGGAAAAGCGCACCCCAGCTGGCCATTGCTGCTTCTCTTCTCCTCTAAACCACCTCAGCGGCAACAAGAGGGACATGGCCATGGGCTGGGTGTCAGTTTGGTACCTGGTTGGAGGAGTGGCTGATGTTCTCCTGGGAGGAGGCTCTGTTCCGGCGTTTGGAGTGGTGGGCTGGGAGCTGGGCTCCCCTCACGTCCTCATCGGACGTGTCCATGTCGGCCGAGTACCGGGCCCGGGGCGGCTCATTCCAGGGGATGCCTTGGGCAGAGAAAGGTACAAGGCATTCACAATGGTGCTTCAGGTTTTAACTTTTCTATTTTTCACATTCTGTGCTGCTTTAGTGTGTACTTCTGAGCTTTATATTAGGGAATGGTGAGCTCTCTTCACAGAGTAGGGAGACAAAACAATTCCTTCTCTAGCTGGGGACCAAGGACAAATGATCCAAATCCCAGGCCCAAGAGCATAAACAATGTGGATTGAAGAGAGAAAAACAAGCAGGATGGGACTTCATAACCTAAAGCTGTAACTGGACAATCAACTCCAGTATGCAAATAGAACAGAACTTAAAAAAGTGAGAGACCCTGTGACCTGTTGTCCATTTTGTGACCATTTTGGTTCATCTTGGTTGTGGCCCTAGCTGGGTTCTTGTGCTGCCCAAGGTGTAACCATTAAGGTCTTCTAATAAATTCCTACTTTATTCTTTACTTCTGTCTAGCCTCTGTTCTAGGTCAGCCTTCACAGGGTATCAACTCCCTGGAGTTCCTTCCTGGACATCCATCCTTAAGACAAGCAAATAATGAGGCATTTCCCCAGTTCAGACTTCCTACCCTTTGGCAGGAGGTGCTTCTGCAAGCCAGACCAAGTTTCAGGATGGATCAGGCTGCAGCTCCACACGCTGTGCCCACACAGCACCAAACACAGCAGGGTCCCACACAGGGCACAGGGAGAACCATCCTTGCTCTCATGCCCTGACCAGCCTCACCAAAAAGCACTACTACCTTCCCAGTTTTGTGGGAGCCCAGGTTTGGATGCTGCCCTTTGTGCACTGCCCAGGTGCTGGAAGATGTTTAGGCTCAGGCTAGAGAGGTACCAGCCTAGGATGGAGCATTTAAAAAGAGTGGAAAGTCTCCTGTGTAAAGGAGAATTTAAAATGAGACAAACACAATGAGAGAAAATAGAATTAACATGCTGGGGGTCTTGCTGCTGTGATGCTCCAGCAGGACTTGGAATAGGAATTTAAACAGCCATGTTAAGGTCTACCCAGCATTCCCAAATGTCCTGAAAATACAGCCAGGCCACTGGAGACACAGGACACATTCTACATTTGCATATGCAAATATCCAAATAGCCAGTATCCAGCCCTCCTGGCTCTGCCATCGCTGCAGGGAAAACAGAGGTTGTAAAAGGCAAATTCTGCCTCTTAGAGGGTATTTATAGACTCACAAATCCACAGATAATTTAGCCTACCCATGCACCCTGCCCAGCTAAAAGAATGCCACTTAGGAACCTCCAGTTCTTGTCCAAGTCCCCTAAAAACTCAAAGCTTTCTGCAGCCGCAAAACCCTTTACTAAGAAGTTGAACTCTGCCTGCAGCAGGAAACACATCCCATTGTTTCTAGAAGTGTCCATGGAATTGTATCTAGTTTCTGCCCTGGAAATCACCAGTAGGTATGAAAGGGATGGACACCTTAGGAACAACCCCTTTGGCTTTGCTGGGTACAAGATCAGCCCTTTTACAGCTAAATAACATCAGTCAGATTCTTTCCTAAGAAAAATCCCTTTTGCAGACAGATAGCTTGTGTTGACCCTCTTAGTAGCTTTGAGGTTGTTCAGAAAAAACCCAAAGATGTTTTCACTTTGGTCCAATGCCTGCAGCCACTTGTGCCAAGAGGATACAAGAGGAACCTGGACAAGGACACCTACCAGGCTTTGGGTTTCTCTCCAGGCTCCTCCTCCGTGCGTTGACGGTGAGCCGAACCTCGGTGCTGAAGTGCTGCTCCGGAGCGCTCACCCCCGGCTCCTGCAGGACATGGTGGAACACCAGGTCTGCATCCGTGATCCTGGACTCCTGGGAGCCATCTTCAGCTGAGTTGGGGAAATCTGGGAAGGACTGAGAGTTGAGGATGCTGCTGAGCAGCTGCCCACAGAGATTCTGCTTGTGTGACCCCATCTGTAGGGCTGCCTCCAGCTCAGGGGCCCCCAGAGCAAGAACAGTGTGGAGCTGTGGCTGCCCGTGGATCCCTGGAAGCATCCAAGGCCAGGCTGGGCAGGGCTTGCAGCATCCTGGGATAGGGGAAGGAGTTGGAATGAGATGACCTCTGCAGTCCCTCCAACCAACTTGTTCTATCATTCTACAACTCCTTGTCTCTCCTGACCTTCACTAAGAGCTCTTCTCTTTATTCTTCAATATGTGAATGGATTGACCTTTTGTAATGCCAATTATATTTATATAAAATATAAAAGTTCCTAATAATCCCATTTAAAGGCTTTGCCAGGCTGCTGAACCCTGAGCAATACTTCCCATCACTGCCAGGGGGCACTGGTAATTTTTACAAGATCAGTTCCTTCAGCCAGACTGCAAAACTCTCTGATCTTTTAAAATGCCATCCCCTTCTACTTATTTAAACAGTCACCTCCTCAAATAATTTGTAATCCATAAATCTAGTTTGACAGAGACCAGCTCTCACACTGAATTCTGCTACAAAAAGAGGGGTGAAAGACAAACAAAAAGAGGGATCCAATTATTTCTCCAAAATTCTAATAATTTTTTGTGGAATTATGCAGATTTATTTAAGCTGTTGTTATGGATCTCGGCACATCCTATTTCTACCCAAGAGTACAGTTTAATCAAAGCACTCTTAAAAAGAAGGAGCTGTTTAATGCTTTAAAAGTGCAGTTTCACCAGGAAAGACAAACGAGAGCCCAAAAGGCTGGACCTGAATCCTCTCAGGATGGAAGTCCTTTTGCCACACCCAGGGTCACCCCATCTTTGTTCCTCCCCAGAGCAGGAAGGTGGGGTTGGTCAACCCCTGGCCCTGGGTGGGATCACAGGGCACAGCTCACTGCACTGTCTGGATCTGCCTGAGTCCTGCTCCTGGCCAGAAGCTCTGGATACTAAGGCACATCTGGTCTGCTATGTAGAAGCAAGCAGCATTCCTGTAGTTTTTGTCCTGCCAGTGTTCATCCCTCTGGCTGGCCCTCACTGACGCTGGCTCTGTGGGATTCATCTCAACCTCACAACGGCCTCATGGAGCTGCTGGCCAGCTGCACCCCAGTGCCACCACATGGCAAACCCAGCCCCAAACTGGATGGGAACATGGGAGAAGAACCTGATTTCATTTAACCCCTTGACCACTGAACCCGCTGGAAACCAGGGTGTGCCCCCTAGCCTTGGGACAACACAAGAAAATTATTGTCTGCTGAGAGTAAGGAAATGTGCAGGGACACAGCCAGAGAACCTCTTGCTGTCTCATCTTAGCACTCATCCTCACTTGGATCAGGTGTCCTGCTCCTGACTTGGCCTGAGGCAAAGGACTTCAACTGGAAGAAGAGATTGCAAGCAGCGATGGGGATGAGGGATTGGCACCACTGCCTCCCAACACCGGCTGAAGGAGCTCTGAGGCTGAAGGAGCAGTGGTAGTAAGCAAGGAGAAGGAGGAAGAAAGGAAAGGAACCCCCCCAGGAGTCTCCCAGTACCTGGAAAGCATCTGGGCTGCTGGCTGCTGGAGAGAGCTGCACAGACTGGCGCCGAGACTGAGCAGAGTAATCCGAGTCCAGTTCGAAATCAAAGGGGTGCACAGACAGCAGCCGCTTTGTCTTGCACATCTTTAGCACAGAAAGTGCAAGAAAGGCAAATTCAGTGTAAGACACAGTTGACCTTGAGGAAAGGGGGAGGGAGGACCTTTCTCTCCTTAGTTTGCCTGAGTTTGCTCTGCTTTTTGCAGAGAGAATTTGGGCTTGTCCCTGTCCTGCTTGAAGGGAGCCAGGTACAGTGTGTGCTTGTGCTAAAGGCAAGGAAAAGTGAGTTCCTAATTTCCACAGCCTCTGGCTCAAGCAGAGCTGCCTTAAGCAGAGTGAGAATATCTCTCCTGGTTTATAAAGGCACTCTGGGAAAGATGGGCCAGGTTACAGCTCAGAGAGAGATCCAGGTGATTCTTTTGAGCCCTGAAGCATCTCCCCATCCTCAGAGGAAGGATGTTGCAGGCAGATCTCTCTGAATATTTGGGAGGTCATTAGTAAAAAAAACCCAAAGCAGGGTTCTCATTATACAGGTAGCAGCTGGGACATTTATATTAATTGGTGATGCCCATAGTGTTAGGAGTGGAGCGCCTAGTACAGAGCACAAGTATTGATGATGTTTCTGACATGGCTGTTTTTACACAAACTGGGAGAGGAGCTTATCTCAGAGAAGAAAAACAGAGAGAAAGGTCCAGTTTTGAAAGTGGCACAGGAAAGCCACCACCACCATCACCTAGGGCAGGCCAGAGGCACAGAGTGAGGCAGTGGCAGCTCCAGAACCAAACACTTACCCTGCTGTAGCACTCTGCTTCAGCTCCACGAAGGACATTGTCTTCCTCATCGCTGTCATCCCCGGCGTCACAGCTGGTGAGAAGCTGGCACTCTCCTGGAGGGGACACAGGCAGCAGGTCAGTCCCCACCCTGGTGGTCACACCAGTGTACCTGCAGGCGAGGCCATGCTTCTTACAGGGGGTGGAAAAGCCCAGATTAGAAGTAACACCTGAATTTTTTTTTCTGCTGGCCTCTCATTGCTTCTCCTGCCAGATGTGCATCATCACAGATGTGGAAGAGAAGGGGCACCTGCACCACAGAAAGCACCCCGAGGTCCACCTGGGTGATTCCAGTGCTTGAAGGCTCAGGACAGGAGCTATTCCTGACTCCCATCAGCCAGCTCTTCTGTTTATCAACAACCCATTACTTTGAGATAATGAGTGCTTGCAAACTTCAAGTTTGGCATGTAACTAAAAGTCCTGTTGTATCCAAATCTACCCTTGGAGACCCCAGATTATCACAATGCAGGGGCTAAGCACTATAGTCCATCTCCACTGAGGTGTAGGAATGTCTTCCCCAGTCTGACCACTCCAAATCTCCCCAGAAGTGCCCACAGCTGAGGGGGTATGAAGACAAAGATTTTGGAAACCTTGCTTGAACTGCAAGCTCCCTATTGCAATCCCCTTTTTTACTTACTGTTGATGTCTGGCAGGCTATAAACTCTGTCCTGAAGACCTAAACCAAGAGAAAAATGGTGGCAAAAATGAAAAATCACATTTTCTTCTTGTTCCTCGAGCAGAGAGCAAGCCTCAGAGCCATGGCTAACTGGAATTCTCATTCTCTAGCCCTCACAAGAAACAATTGTTTAAAAGGCTCTTTAGAGAGAACAAATCAGATGCTTGGAGACAGGACTTGACTTTTAAAAGTCAAAGAGCTGCCCACCACTGCTTCCCCAAGCTGATGCAACATGCCTGGGAGCTGCAGGGGGAGGCACAGCCAGATGCAGATGGCTGGAGATCCATCCCAGGAAGAGATTCTTGCTTGCTTGAGGGTCAAGCCAATTCACTGGTGTCAATGAAGTAATAAACAACAAAATCATTTCTCTTTGAAAAAAGCATTAGAATCTCAATTTAAAGCAGCCCAAGGCACTGTTATCTTCACGCTTTGTTGGGTTTTGTGTGCTCTGATGCATTTTCGGTCCAAACAATGCATGGATTCTCTCTCAGTCCATTAATTTTTTTTTTTTTTTTTTTTTTTTTTTTTTTTTTTTTTTTTTTTTTTTTTTTTTTTTTTTTTTTTTTTTTTTTTTTCTGCTATTTCTGGCATGAATGGCCTGGCTAAAAGAGTGATTGGAGCAGTTGAATCAGGTCATGTCAATGATATGTGTGCAAACTTTTCTGTGGATCCTCAAGATGGGAATAAACTCCACGTTGGTTTCCAAAGGCAACAGGCCAAGGAGTAGGAGCTCTATGAATAACAACTAGGAGCTGGTTAGTAATAATGCTATATTAATATAATCATATATTTATGCACTCCTGGACCAAAATCAGAATATGGAAGGTCCACGAAGCTCTGAAGAAAACAGTTATGGTGACAGGTAGCTCACCAATTTTGGCACAGTTTTGTCAGTGCCAGGGGATGATATCGGGTTGGTTGTAAAAATCATCAGGTCTTGGATAAAAAAATGAGGGCTGGCTTTATCCTGCAGGTTAAACCAGGGTTAATTCCACAAGCTCTGCGATGAAAAGACCAAAAATAAAGGAAAAAAAAGACCTGCAAATATACTTACAAACTGCAGGACGTGGGACTTTGAAAATTAAACATGTGGCATTAGGGAATGTTTTTCATTGAAAGGGTGGTCAAGGAAGTGGTGGAACCACTATCCTTAGAAGTGTTCAAAAAAACACATGGATCTGGCACCTGGGGATGTGGTTAATGGTGGTACTGGGTTGGACTGGATGATCTAGATGTGTTTTCCAACTGTAATTATCTTACATTGTCCAGTCTGTGGCAAAGACTTAAGACTTAACAGTAGAAAAGCCATCAAAAACACCTGCTCTGTGATTGAACGAAGAACCCTGAACCTCTGCTTCCTCCCTGAGATGTTTTGAGCAGTCTTGGTACCCCACGACACTCAGAGCAGCATCAACACTGCTGTACCCCGAGGTGGTGCAGCACAGATTCCCCAGGAGCAGCAGTGCTCACCCAGAAAGCATTCCTCACCCAGAAAGGCAGAGTTGAGCCCCTGGCCTGGCTGCAGCCTGCCATAGAGGGACTGCAGCACTTTGGCACTTCCAAACCTCTTGAAGCGGGACCGCACGTGTTCGTAGTACCACTCCAGGGAGCCGATCTTCACGATCCTGCCCAAAGAGAGGAGGCACACCCAGGTGAGCAGACCCTCGCCCAAAAAGCTGTATCTTAACAAAAACACAGCATGCTTTCATCTAAAAGGATGCTGAGTTTTGGCAAGTTCTGTTGAGCCTCATCACCTTGTCCCTCAGAGCAGAGCAGTGAGGAGTGGTGTTCCCGGGGGCTGATACATGAACTGGAATTCTTTAACATTTATGCTGGTGACATGGGCAATGGGATTGAGTGTTCCCTCAGCTCACTGCCACACCAAGCTGTGTGGTGCTGTCACATGCTGGAGGGAAGGAATGACACTCAGAGGGACCGTGACAGCCTTGAGAGGTAGGGCTGTGAGAAACTCATGTGGTTAAACAAGACCAAGTGCTAGGTCCTGCCCCTGGGTTGCAGCAATCCCAAGTGAATATACAGGGTGGGTGGAGGATGGATTTGAACAACTCTGGGAAGGAGGACTTGGGGGTGCTGGAGGGTGAGAATGTTGACAAGAGCCAGAAATGTGCACTGGCACCCAGAAACCCCCCTTGTGTGCTGGGCTGATCCCCCAGTGTGGGCAGCGGGGGAGAGGGGAATTCTGTCCCTCTGCCCCAGTCAGGTAGGACCCCACCTGCAGAGCTGCCTCCAGCTCTGGGGTCCCCGAGAAAAGGACATGGAGCTACTGGAATGAGACCAGGGGAGGCCACAAAGATGCTATGAGGACTAGAGCCCCTCTGCTCTGAAGCCAGGCTGGGAGAGCTGGAAGTGTTCACCTGGAGAAGAGAAAGCTCTGGGGAGACCTCAGAGCCCCTTCCTGTGCCTAAAGGGGTTCCAGGAGAGCTGGAGAGGGACTCGAGATATGGGTTTGGAGTCACAGGATAAGATGAAATGGCTTCCCACAGCCAGAGAGCAGGGTTAGATGGGATATAGGGAAGGAATTGTTCCCTGTGATGGTGGGAAGGCCCTGGCACAGGGTGCCCAGAGCAGCTGTGGCTTCCCCATGCCTGGAAGTGTTCCAGGCCAGGTTAGATGGGGCTGTAGTGGAAGGGCAGGGGGGTGGAACGAGATGGGCTTTAAGGTGCCTTCCAGCCCAAACCATCCTGTGATTCCCTGAGGAGCAGCACCTGGAGAGGCGGCAGGGATCACAGACCCAGCCCTGCTCCTTCTTGTTGTAGCGGCTGCAGTTCTTGCAGGTGTAGAAGTGGCAGTCCAGGCACTGCCGTTTGCTGTTCAGCAGGAACTTGAAGGGCTGCAGGCAGTGCACACAGTGAGTTTCGTTGAGGTGGGACTGATTGGTCAGGAACTCTCTCTTGCTACTCTCCTGGTCGATCTTGCATTTCAGCTCCCTGTAGGAGACACCCCCAAAAACTGGAGTTTGTTATCATCTCTCTGCAAACTCTCACATGGCAAAGCCCATCATGCCACAATCATTTCAGGAACGATTTTCCACTGCAAGTCTGCAGCTTGTGGAAACAGCTGTAGGGCAAATCTAATAAATAACATATCACGAGTTTAATAAGCTAACAACAAAGTGGGCTCCAGATTCAGGATGGGTAACTGGAGTTTCATATTAGGTTTAATTTAATATTAGAATCACAGAATATTCTGAGTTGGACAGGACCCACAAGGATAATTAAAAAAAAAAAAAGTGAGTGTGCCAAAACCTGTCCTGTTTGTTTCACAGGGTGTTTATCATTAATGCCAGGAACCTCGGGAGAGCAGCTCTTCTCAAACCCTGTGGCTGTATCCCAACATGACACAATCTTCAAGCCTGGAGTCATGCAGGGAATTAAAATCTTTCTGGAATTCTTAGTTTTAAAGAGGAGGGGGGGAAAAAAGGGAAAGAAATCTGGGATTAAAAAGGGTTTTAATATAGTCCTACAGTACTAAAATTTCAGCAGAGAACTTTATGAAGTTATGTGCAACAAGCTTTTGGCTGTTCAGAGGATGCAAGAGGAAGAGGTGCTTGTGACAATCCCGTGAAAGGGAAGAGCTTTTCCAAGAGAACCTTCACCTGGCAGTGCATCCCTGCAGGCTTCTTCACTATCCAGACCTGGCTGCCAGAGCAGGTCCCCATTGCAAAGAGTGTCTGCATGAGGCTGAGGCCCCAGCACCAGCTGGGGACACCTGAGATGCCTGCCAGGCTGGTGGGGCACCCTGCACTGCCCAAAAGCTCTCTGTTTGCTGCCCGCGCCATGCACCACCTCAGGTATGTTTGCCTTTGGGGCCATGGCTGAGAGGAAAATGTTTGACTTGTAGGGAAGGTCCTAGAAAGTTGTTTTCTCTCTAGACAGGGTTAGGAAGCTGTGTTTTCCAGAGCAGAGGTCAGCTTGGGTTAAAACCCTGAAGCAATCAGGTCTAGAGGCTGCTTCAGGATCACAGTGTGGACCACGAGGCACTGGTGATGCTCCCCGTGCCACACTGACGCCGGGGTGACCACAACAGGAGCCTGGCTGGCCCTGGGAGCAGTGGTGTGACTGGCAGTGGGAAGGGCAGGCATGTCAAGCAAGCCAATCTCTGTTTAACCTAATCAGTTTGCACATTAAGGCTCAGCTTTTCATTTATTTTTTTTCCAAGGAAGCATTTTCTGGCCAGCTGGCAGCCAACACACCGCCAGACACATTTTTTGGTGTCACTCCTCTTTGTGGTCACACAGGAGTGACACCCACTTGCATTTGCATCTGGGAGATGTAAAAACCAGCACAAAGACAGACCAGCACAAAGACAGAAAACTGGGCATCTGGTTTGTAAAATCCACCCTTCACTATCCTAGCAGTGATTTGGACAAACTGGTGCAAATGTCCCAGCAGTAAATTTAAGTGACTTCTGAAATGAAATCCTCAAATAGAAAACCCTTGGGTTGGACTCTGTACTCCTTTTCCACTCCCGTGCTAAGGCTGTTGCCAGCAGGATCCAATCTATTTTACTGGAACTGCTTTTTCTGGTTCCCAGAGACCGGTTGGATCCCTTCACCTCTCCTCCCTCACCCACCAGACCTGCCAAAGGAAGGAAGAGTCTCAGCCAAACCAGTTTAAAACCCGCAGGAACCGCATGCCTCTTGTCTCCTCTTGCTGGCAGGAGCAGCAGCCAGCCCCTTCCCTGCTCTGCTCACGTCAGGATGAATAAATCTGTGGTGTTGGGATGCCAGATGCAGCAGGATTGGACCCACAGAGCTCCAGGAGAGATGCAGGGAGCCATCCCCCAAAAATGGGGTTGTGGGCATGGATGTTTCAGGAAAGAACCAGGGAGAGATCCCTCAAAATGGTCATTATTTAATTTTTTGGGCAAAGCATTGCCTTCACATGCCTGTGCCATCTGTGGCCAGCTTTGTCCCTTGTTTATGAATAGCTTCTGCCAAAAACAAAATACAGAGAAGCAGCAAAAAGGGAAGAAAAAGACCAAGCTGAGAAGGGGCTGGACAGGACATTTCTTCAAGGCTGGCAGGTTGAGACAAGCCCGGTGAATAGAAAAGTAAATGAATAGAAAAGTAAATGGGACTGGTCAGAGCACAGAGTGAATGGCTGCAGGGTCTCCGATAATGTCACATCATGTCCCAGCTTGTTACAGGCAGAAAATTCTTGTGTAGCTCCACGTCCAGCACTCAGGAATGTGGCATACTTTCCCAGGCAGGTGGTCTGGTCTGTTGCAGAAATTATTCAGAAAGTACAGAAATTTATGTAGTTCCAAATGCTTAATGCCAGCCCCCTGCAGGGCACGATTAAAGAAGAAAATAAAAATAAGAAAACAGGGGAAATGGCTCTTAGGAGGAGAGAGAGCAGCTGGGTAGGAGCATCCCAAGACCTTCTCCCATCTTGCATCTCCCAGAGCATGGTATCCAATTTGGAAGCTTCCTGGGCATCAGAGAAGACCCAGATAAACCCAGTCTGGCGCCAAGGTCAAGTAAGGAAGGAATTCACCTCGCCCAATTCTTTGCTGCAGGGCACTGCAAAGTATGTCTCCACCTCCTCCCTCCAGGCTGAGCTTAGATGCATCACAAGGGAGACATTCACCCTTTGCAGGGTGATAATTTTTTAAAATACCCCTGTCTGATCTCCTTCCTGCTCTTCAGAGCTACCAGCAGAGGAAGGCAGTAGATGATGATATTGAATTATCTCTGCCTCCCACGCAGGCTGGCTTTTCTTAGGCAAAAAATAAAAAAAAAAGTAATCAAGGCAATGAAAAATACACAACTGAGAGTTTCTTGTAGCCATTGGTGTAAATGAAGAGGGTCCCATGATTGAAAGGTTTTGGGGGATGCAGATATCCCAAACTGAGGATGGCTATCACTGCTCCCCCCTCCTTTTGGATCTGATAGAGGAACTAATGAGCTCCTGGTCTCCAGGCATTGGTATCAACACCAGCCCTGGCACATAAAATTCAGAGCTGGGAGGGTCTGAGGGCTCAGTGGGAGTGCAGCACAGCCCAAATCCAGTCTGAGAGCATGGACCATCCATTTGGATAATGATAACTTGGCCAGACCCTGAAGAGGATCACTGCAGCTTTTTGAAATATGTTAAGGCATTATTAAGTTCAGCATCTGATGAAGCTCATGAACAAAACCTGAAGCCCTGCGATTTCTCATGCTCAAAATTTAATCTGATCTGACAGAACATTTTTTAAACAGCACTTTCGTCCAACACCCTGTTTATAAGGATTTAGAAGTTCATAGAATTTGCTGCTCCAGTGACTTTTCAATCTTTCCCCAATCTGTGGGCCCCTAAAATCTTTCCAGGACAGCACAGCCCCTGGTATTGCGTATTTAAGTCTACTAAAATAGCTTTACTAGTAGGTTTACTAGTAGTACTAGGTTTACTACTAAAGATTTGGAAATTCAGAGAATTTGCTGCCCCAGTGACTTCTCAGTCTTTCTCCAATCTGTGGGCCCCTAAAACCTTTCCAGGACAGCACAGCCCCTGGTATTGCGTATTTAAAGTTACTAAAATAGTTTTACTACTCCTCTCAGTTATTTTTTCAGGATTCCCAGAACCCACTGAACAACTCCTGCCCAAACCACACGAGACCCATCACATGAAGCAAAACCAAGGGAGCCAAATCCCATCCTCTGCTCCCGGGTGAAGCCTGCCCTTGAGAGCCCCACCAGCCTCAAGCCTCACAGAGGCATTTCCTGGTATTTGTCCCCATAAAGTGCGACGGTGTCACCGATCCGCGTCGCTGCCGGTGGCACGGCGCCAGTTTGCACCTTTGCTGGCCGAATGCGTCACCTCGCTGCTGATAACGTAATCAATCTATTAACCGTGTTTGACTTCCTCAGCCCGGTCTCCTGCCGTCCCTCCTCGCCCACAGCCTCAGCAGGTTGTTTTGTCCCTCCAGCCCACGGGGACCCGAGGTTTTGGCTGGCTTGCCCCCAGCTCAGGGACCGGAGAACAGATACTCACTCCAGCCGTTCCTCCTCTTTTTTCCGCAGATCAAAGTCCCGTTGAACGACTTCCCAAACATGCTTGGCTTCTTCATCGGTGAGCTTGGAGAGGTCCAGCTTCCTGCCCATCTCGTCGCGGCGAGACGTGAAGCCGATCCCGTTACTCGCGCTCCCCGAGCGCTCGCTGTCCCGTACCATGGGATGCTGCTGACGAAGGGGGAAGAGCTCAGCCCCACCTCCGCGGCTGCCCATATAACCGGGCAGGGGCAGAGCTGCGGGCAGGCCAGCCGGCTCCTGCCAGCACCGCAGCCGCTCTGCCGGGCGAGCCTGCCCGCGGAGCCGGCCGCCGAGCAGGGCTGGCACGGTGCCTATCGGCTGCGGGGACTCCTCGCCAGCCGGGAGGGCGGCCCTGCCTTTCCCCGGGGCGCTGCCCGCAGCTGCAGCCGCTCCGGACCTCGCCCGCCTGGCTGGGGCTACGGGAGATGTTTACTCTGCCTGCTTGATGCTGGGTGTGCGAATGAAAGGGAGCCTTCAGACGCCTCCCCGGGGAAGGCAGGCCACGGGCTTTGGGAGGGAGCGGAGCATCCCCGGGAGGAGCCGTGCCTGCACGCCCGGGAGGACCGGCTCCATCGCGGTGGCTCCTGCCCCACCGGGATGCTCCGCTCCCCAGCCCGCTCTTCTGTGTCTCATCTCATTACACAAATTTTGCCCCTAGCAGCAGTTTGTGAGGAAAACTTCAGCGCATCTGGCTTCCCCGCAATACCAGAGACTAGCGTCCTGTATTGCTCTCACAGCATTTTGGGCAGCTGAGCTTTGCTCGTGGCAAACAGCTTAATTAGGACGCAGCACTTCCCTCGTTTGCCGTGAGCAAGAAAAGACGGTTTGACAGGATTTTAAGAAAAGCGCTAAATACACCACATAAGCAAAGAGATATAAATTGTAATATATATCCGACTGCCGAGGCTGTTGTCTTGCTCAGTAAAACACTCCCTCTGTGTTCAAAGTAAACCCATTTCTCACTTTCGTGAGATCAAATATTGATGGTACTCTTTTTTTTTTTTTTTCTCTTCCCTGACATGAATGTAAACAGGGAGCAAGACAGCAAGACCAAAGAGGAAAACTTCTGCCTAGTGGGACTAAAATCCCTGCTGCCCACCCAGGGATACAGGGAATTATCCACCCTGGTAACTCACTTGAAACAGAGATTAGATTAAACTCCATGAATAGGGTCAGAAAAGTATTTTGAACCCGAATTAGGATGGATTTTGTGCAGGAAAAGTGATGACTACAGATGCAGTGTTTGAGTTTGGATATCGGGAATGCATGATCTTCTCTGGAAGCCAGAAATTGATTTCCAGCTCCTCGTCCAGCAGAGGTCCCGACAAAAGCAATCAGTTTATTGGCAGGAGCCAGATATCAGTCGGGCAGGTCCTTATGTAAGCGTGTTTGGGAGCCCTTGCGCCCCACTGCATCCGAACAGGGAGCGGTCAATAGCGATAATTAACATCACAACGAGCCCCTGTTCCAGGGCCTCCCGCTCCAATCACCCAGCACCTCTGACCGCCCTAGATCCCAACACATTCTCCTCCACAAGGATAAAGGGGTTGCGTTAAACCAGGAAGATGTGGCCTGCTATGCAATGAACATGGGAAAAAAATTGCGAGTGTTCAGCAGTGCCAATACCCCCTAAAAAGGGCTGGCTTAGCCAGAAAACCACCTCAAGGGAAATGTCCTGGGTGCACGAATAAATTCAAAGTATTCTGTTGGCAAACTATTGCCTGGGAACGGTTTCTGTAGGAAAACTCTCCTCCCTCGGCTCACTGATGTGTGTAACAGCAAAGACAGAAATGTTTTCTTTTTTTTTTTCTTTTTTCCCCTCTTTCAAAGAAGTTTAGATTTTTAGCAGTTCAGACCCAGCTATCACCAGCTTCCAACAATTCTCTGCCTTAAGGAGGACAATTAAACCTGCTCACCCACAGCTCCCTCTCCCATCATAGAACCGTGAATAAAGGCTCACAGATCTTACAAACTCATAAAAAAAACCCCAAACAAACAAACAAACAAACAACCCCCAAAAAGGACCAGCACCAAACCACGCACCCAGAACCACTCAGACACTGAGACACTGTCACATGGAAGCCTTCAGAAAATATGTGGATGTGGCACTTGGGGACATGGTTAGTGGTGGAACTGGCAGTGTTAGGTTAATGGTTGGAGTCAGTCTTAGAAGACTTTTCCACCCTTTATGATTCCAAGTTGTAGGGTCAGATGATATTATAGGTCTGCCTAAGTCCACCAGCCTCTGCAGTGACCACACATGTGTGGGATGGAGATCAGGAGCAGGGATGGAAAGGAAAAGTTTTGTGTTTCCTATCAGCTGGAAGCTCAAATGGACCTTGATTCCAGTTGAATCGGGAACCTGGTGGCAAAATGGGAGAGGGAAGTGTCATAAGCTAAGCCTCTCCTGGGAAACCAGGCATAGATGGATCCCAGGCTCCATTTCTGATATTGATTATGGCCACGGGAGGAAAAGAATGGATTTCTGGGGCATCTTTAAGAGAAATGCACTTCTAGCTGCAGGGCCACTCTTTTAAAAGTAACAGTCACATGAACTGTTATCTTTGCAGTTCTTGGTAATTATTTGTAAGACAACTGTGAACTGATATATGTATGGAACATGTGGCCTGGCCCCCCTCCAGCCATTCATTTCACAATGTTTTAACTGATAACTGGAAGTAAATCCATAATCAGAGTTCAACAAAACTGATGAGCGAAGATAATATCCAGCTGCTTCTAAAGACAGCAAACACCACCTCAGTAAGCCACCCAGCACTCCCACATCCTCATCTTCTTCCTGCTGAAGGGGCCAAACCAAGGGGCAAAACCCCAATAATTTCTCCAGTACCCAATTTTTCCAAACAGCTGCATTAAGTGCTGCAGAGGGCAGATGTGCCTACACGAGGTGCTGAAATGGTGATTTACAGTGGAGTCAGCTCCAGCTTTGTTTCTCACTCCATCAACACTGATGGGTGTTTTGGCTCCCCTCAACACGGGGTCATCCCAAATACCAAGCTAGAGGAGATTCCAAAAGCCAGATGGAGTCGAACCAGGAGCATCCACCAGCAGCTCCAGCCCATTTCAAAGCCGCAGGCAGAGGTCACAGGACCCTTATTCACAGGAGCATAACAAAACCAGGAGCTCCAACAGGCACGTTGCTGGAGTTTCCTGAGTGCCTCTGCCTCTCCCCCCATCCTTCCACGATCATCTCCAAGTCATGAGATATCCCTGGGATGGCATTCCTTCTCCCTTCAGTTTCTTGGCAGCTTTACAATGACATCTTATCAGCACCATCATAGTGGAGAAGAACAAGCAGGACAGGGAAGGAACGTACAATGCCACTGCTATTTCTGTATGTGACTCACGAGGGATTGCCATGGGTTTCATCCATTAATACAGCAATTAAATTATGCTATGGCATGACCACATCTCATTTGGAATGACCCCAACAGCCTCACTTAGAGAAAATAACCATTCAACTTTAATTATTACGGATAACGATGCTCTGACCTCTGTAGCAATTAGGAAACTATCACTGAGAACATGAAAACAAAGTTTGTGGAGTATCATTTGTGGGGTTGAAGATATAAGGACATTTTTCCCAACCAATGTGACCATTAGGGAGCCCTCTCAGTCCCAACAGCCATCACAGATCCCATAGCCCTTACAGATCTTCAAAAACCCCGTGAGCCTCACAGCACTGACAGCCCCCCAAAGCCCCCATACCCTACACAGACCCCAGAGCCCACATACCCCAAACAGACCTCAAAGCCCCCACAGCCCTCACATCCCTAACACAGCCCATAACCCTTAACAAACCCCATAGCTGTCACATCCCTCATATAACAGATAGCCCTTACAGACCCTATAGCCTACACAGACCCTACAGGCCTTAGAGCTCCCAAAGCCCTCACAACCCCATAGGACCCATACCCAAATTATGGGAAAATGGGGTAATATCCCTCAATTTTAACCCTAAAAAGGTCAGGGACAACAGGGATTCCCTCTCAATTTAAACCTTAAGATGATTAAAATGGCAGGGGGGTGGGGGTGTGGGGTGTTGCCTTAAATTCAAAATAAACACATGACACAAAAAAGACCTTTCTTTTTCACTTAAACTGGAAAATGGGGATTCCTGGTCAATTAATTGATAGCCCAAAAAACACAGAAAGGGCAGGTTTTTGATCAATTGATAACTTTTAAATCACAGGTGAAGGGGTCTTAGTTTAAATACAAATAATAATAAAGGAGGGTTTTCCCTCAGTTTAAACTCCTTTTCCGCCCCAGCTCCCTGCCTTTGTTCTGGGATCAAAAGGATGCGCTGGAGAGAAACTGGAGGCACTGGGATGCACTGGTGAGGGATGGAGAAGATGAAATAGAAAGGAGAAAGGAAAAGGATCTTCCCAGGGCCCCCAAATGCCGTCCTGCTCATCACCCTCACCAGCCACAGCTGGGACTGCCCCACCCCTCAGCACAAAGGGTGATGGTTTTAAACTGAAAGATAGAGGTCAATATAGACATAAACACCAGGAAAAGTTTTTACAATAAGGGCAGGGAGGCTCTGGCACAGGTTTCCCACAGCAGCTGTGGCTGCTCCATCCCTGGCAGTGTCCAAGGCCAGGCTGGACAGGGCTTGGAGCAACCTGGGACACTGGGAGGTGTCCCTGCTGGTAGCAGAGGAGTGGAATGAGATAAGATTTGAAGTCCCTTCCAACGCAATATATTATATAAAAACCCCATCGACTCCCATTGGAGAGGTCTCTGAGAGGAAGAAGTGGCTTTAAATCTGTTTGAGATCCCTCACCTGGGGCTGGGGGCGTGCTCTGGGACCCGGCCGGGGTCTGACGCCACTGATCCCTTCCCCTTCCAGACCGACGAGTGTCTCCAGCGTGCCTTTTCTTTGTTTTTTTTGTTTGTTTTGTTTTGTTTTTCTTCATCTTTCCCTGTCGGTCCGGGTTGTCTCCTTTATTTATTTATTTTCCACCAGCACGGGGAGCGCGGAGGGTCCGGCACGGCTCCTCCAGCCTTCCTTCCCTTCCAGCCGCCCCGCTCCGCTGCATTCCCAAGGCCTGGAGCGACACCAAGCTTCCCTGGGAGGTTCTGCACGGCAGCTCGGCTTTGGGAGCTTCGTCCTCGCCGAGCCGGGGCTGCCGGCTGCTTTTCTTTCCCTTTTCTCCTCATCTTGCTCGCCCTTTTTTCTTTCAATTTCCCACCCTTTTTCCTTCTCCTTTCCCCCTCACCGTTTCCGCCATTATCCCCCCCCCT